TCCTTCAGTTGACTCTAATATAATAAAAAAATTTTAACTGAACAGGATGGATATAATTTAATTCCTGTTTCAAATTTTGATGAAATTTTGATAAAAAGTTACCCATATATGTCACTAGTTGTTTAAAAAATTTCAGACTAAACTTCAAATTTTCCGTTACATTAATATTTATTTATTTTTTTTTTCTAGTAGGAATTGTGGTCTTCTTTCTGTCCTTAAAAATAAATGTCCATCTGGGAAGGGCCTATTGAGTGAAAAACGGAGTGTGATACATTGTCCTGTAGGCTTTACTAATTCTTCTCTTTGTAAATATTATTTCAGAAAGGATACAATACTTGCTTTTGGAATTGAGTTGCCTTTTCCAAATTGTATCCTGTTGGTAGGTGCTGTTCTGAGTTCTAAGAACAAAGGATTCCTAGGCGAGTAAAACTGAGTTCTAACTGTCCCCCACAGATCATACACAATACGTATTAGCATAGTAAAAGCTCAGATAAAAACAGCAATAAAGAGTGTGTTTAACTTTGCTTAAAGGTTAAGCAAATCTTAAGAAGCTTGTTTTTGTGGAGAAAGACTCTTTTATTCAGTATTCTATTATAATCTGCCCCTGTCTCTATCTCCCAAAGCCATTTAAGACCAAAAAAAAAAAATCCTACAGGTTTGGTTCTCTCCATACCCAGTTAAAGAACCAAGGACTCGATACTTTCATGAAATCAACCATAAATATAAAAGATTGGAGAAGAATATCACTCACTTCATTAGAAATATATTTGGAGGAAAATTGTGTGACAAACTTGCAGTGACAGGGTTAATATAAAATCATCACTGTATGGTTCTTGGAACCATACGTTTATCATCTTTTCCTAATATTTGATTATGTAAGTACTTAATATGAGTAGTCATTATTTTAGACTGTATGTTTTAGTTCAGATATGATAAAATAGATTGTGGTCTAATATCAGGTTAATGTCTGAACTGATTTTCTATGGTTTTGCCAGCTGGAATTTCTTCATTTCTACAGAAGTAGCTTATGCAATCTAAATTCTCTAACATCAAATATTTTTGCAGAGTCTTAGTGCAACAGAAATTCCTTTGGCATCAGTTCGTGTCTACTTACTTCCAGCAAAAGTTGATAGTGCCTCATAATGTGAACTGAATTTGGGAATGAAATTTGATGTGTACATCATGATTTTAGTCATTTTATTCATTTATGTGTTTAATGAGAACATATTATATGTTCTCACAGCACAGCACAGCACAGCACAGTGGCATTCTAGGCATTGGGCATATGGAGTTCCAGACATTGGAGTTCCTGCCTTGAGAGGTAACATAGGGGAAGTAGGCATTCATACTACAAATATTTACTGAGATTCTATATGTGTCATGCATTAGGCTGGGGTCAGAGAACACAGTGGTGAACAGACAGGTTCCCTGCCTTAATGATGCTGGCAGACTAGCAGACATTGTCTCAGTCCACCATAACAAAATATCATAAACTGCATGGCTTATAAATAACAAATATTTATTTCACACATTTCTGGAGGCTGAGAAGAAGTCCAAGATCAAGGTGCCAGCAGATTTAGTTTCTGGCGAGGACTTGTTTCCTGATAGTATCTTCTGTGCCTTCACATTGTAGCAGGGGCAAGGCAGCTCTCTAAGGCCTCTTCTTTAAGGGAACTAATCTCATTCATGAGAGCTCTGTCCTCCATGACCTAATCGCCTCCTAAAGGCCCCACCTCTTGATACTATTGCATTGGGGATTAGGTATCAATATATGGATTTGGGGCGGAACACAAACATTCAGACCACAGCAGACATGTAGACCAGTACTATCATCAGGTTATTGTAACTATTAGACATAAACAGAATGTGATAGAAACAAGAGGAAACAACTTTCTAGGAGTACCAGGAAAGATGGAATTGGTGATTTGCTTTATGCTAAAAATAATCTTTCCTGTTTTTTTTTTCTTAAGGCTTTTTCTTTACTAGTATTGTCTTATCTTTGTTTAAAATAAAGCATATATATACTCAGATTTTTACAGAAGAAAATTTCTACCCAAGGATTCTGAACCACTGAATTGTGAAGTGACCTTTCTAAAAGGGTGTTCAATGCTCTGACACTCCCACCCAGACTACCTAACATAGCTCCAAGCTCTAACACAAATTGTTGGGTCCTACCCTGGGGTTTCTGATTCTGCAGGATTAGGTGTAGCCTGATATTTTTTTACTTTTACCAGGCTCCAAGAAGTTGCTGATGCTTTTCCAGGGGCCACACTTTAAGAAGCTTGGTTTAGGGGATCAAATATACCAACTTACTAAGTTAAGACCATTATTAGAGGACTGTGAGATCATATCTGTGTTTCACAGGAGGAATAACAAGGCCAGGTTATTTTTAAAATGTACAAAATGCCAAGTTATAGTAGGTAGACAAAATTAACTACAATAATAAATATTTTATGTCATCAGTGTAATGATCTATTAAATTGAAGTCTGAAGCCTACTTCAGTCACTGATTATTAGGATTAAAAATACTTTGAAGTTGAGATACTTTATGATTTGACTTGAAATCACTTTTTTCTCTCACAGACAGGTGTTTCAGAAGTTTAGATTTAAAAAAGTTGAGACCACATCTGTAACAAATAGTATAATGTTAGACCTTATTATGAGAAGGCAGCCCCCAAAATGGGGGGAATTTGTTATTTCTTATGAATGGGCCTCGAGGCCACTGCCTTAACCTTGAGACACAAACTTCTTTCAAGGCAGCATCAATGAGAGCAAACAACAGGGACTAGGTTGGTGGTGACAATCCAGAAGTGTTTGGCAACATACGGGGACAGATGCCAACTAAGAGGCTTTGAAGAAGAAAAGCAAAGTAAACATGTAGAGAATTTATATTTTCAGATTAATCTACCTGAAGTCCGAAAATTCAATGTACTCCATATCAAGAGGACTACACTGATAGGCTGAGTTATTAATAGAACATAATAATGGAAAAAAGGTATCACAAACTTAGTGGTTTTAAACAACACAAATTTATTTTCTTAGAGTTCTCTGGGTCAAAAGTCTGAAATCAAGGTGTCAGCAAAGCCAAGGCTATGTTCTTCCTGGAGGCCCTACGGGGCACTTTGTTCCCTTGCCTTTTCTATCTTCTAGAGGCCACCTGCATTCCTTGGTCCCTGGCCCCTTCTTCCCCCTCCAGGGCAAGTAGTATAGCCTCTTCAAATCTCTTTCAATCCCTGCCTCCCTCATCTCATCTCAATTTCTGACTGTTCATCCTGCCTCCCTCCCTCTTATAAGGCCTTCGTGATTACATTGGGGCCACCCAGATAATCTCCTCATCTCAAGATGCTTACTCTAATAACATCTGCAAAATTATTTTTGCTGTGTAAGGTAACATATTCACAGGTTCTAGGGATTAGGATGTAGATATCTTGAGGGTGGGAGGCATTATTCTTTATTATTTCTTTTTCCTGAATTGCTCATTCCATTGATCTTTACATAGCTGGGTTCTCCTTATTATTTAGGCCTTAACTTAAAATTTCAAAAGTCAGAAAACACTTGGAATAGTGTTTTCAATACTGGTCATCACATTTTCAGGAGGAAATTGATTAGGGGTGTTATATAGAAGACAATGACTATGAATCATTCATTTATCCACTTAACATTTGTGAAGTGTTCACTATGTACCAAACACAGAGCAAGGAGAGCTCTGGGGATACAGAAAAGAACACAAAGAAGCTGCGGATTTGTAGTACTAATGAACCAGGACTAGAAGTCTTATGATCTGGTTTGGAATCCTGGCCCCACCGTTTAAATACTTTATGAACTAAGCAAATTACCCATCTCTTTGTGCCTCAATTTTGTCACTTATGAAGTTGAGATAAAATTAGTATCTGTTTCATAAGGTTCTCATGAAAATTAAACGAGACTCCTCATAATATTTTTGGAACACTGACTGGAATATAGAGCTCAATAAATGTGGGCACTGAGGAGTGAGAGCAGACTACAAACGGAACATGGAGTACTTAATGACCACGCGGAATTTGGAAAGGCTTTCCAGATCTAAGACTTCAAAGTTGAGTTTCATGCAATCAGTTAGGAGCTGAATAGAAATGAGAGATATGCATGGAGAAGACAGGGATGAATTTGGAAACCATGAGGCTGGGGGGACTGGAAGGAAAAGGCCTTGGAGTCATGTGAGAGCTGTATTTGAATACTGTGCCCGGACAATTGACACAGCAAGTGTCAAAAAGAAATTAGACTTATTTTATTTCTATCCAGAAAATACCCAAGTCCAAGTGAAAATGACAAAAGCAACTTTTACCTCAGTATTTGAAAGAACTTGTCAGTAATAAGGTTTTCTTAACTTTGTTTTTGAGGGCAATATAAACCCTTCTCTATGCACCACTGACTGTCAAAGCACATTGCTTTCTTTGTGGGGTGCCGGCCTTATATCTGTGTTCCCCTTAGCCTTTGTCAATAGAAGCTCAAGTGTTTTCATGAATTAGTGGACCATAAACTTCAAAGGAGGCTGGGCTTTTCTCCAGCCCCAGTAGTGTAATCAGGATTGGGTTCAACTAACCATGGTACCTTTGCCTTTGTTGTTGATTAGGTTAGGGAGGGGCATGTGACACAATTCTTGCCTTTGAGATAGGAGAGGACAGCCTTTGGAAAAGTTTTCTTTATCTCTTAAAAAGATAAATGAGGAAGGTGGGTGTCCTTTCTTCCCTTCCTCCAGCTGTGAGACATCCCTGGGTGAGACTGTGGTGCCTGAAGATATGACATCCATCTCGAAACACTCAAGGAGCTGAGGACAGAGCTGGCATCTGAGGATGGAAGGATGTCTTCTTAGATGGAAAGGATTCAGATCCTTGATGAGGTGGATGAGCTGCTAAATTATCCAAACCTGGAATCATAATAAAATATATCATTTAGTATATTAATAGATTGTATATTCAAATACATCCAATGTTAAAGTTAGCCATTTTTTTCCTTCCTTACAGCCTGAAAATTATCCTGCTTATGCAACTGGCAACATGGGACCCTGCCAATCCAAACTCTCCTCAGAAAATAACCATGGATTCTTTGAGAACTAATTATGAATGAAAATTGCTGACCTGATTTTTGGGTGAGAGATTCTATTAGACAAAATTTTGGGTTCATTTTTTTCTCTTGGAGAAAAAGAAAAAAAAATAGCTTCAATTTTGTCTCTGGATCACTATATCATTAAAGGGCTATATACTTATCCATCCATTACAATTAGTAACACAAGGTGATCAATAATAGAATAAGTTGCCTATATTAACTGCCTTTCAGAATTAATTCCTGCATAGATAAATGATGAATTTTCTAATCCCTAACATTTTTACAACTCTAACATTCTATGATATCAAAATTTCTAACTATTTCATTAAACTCTCAATATATATTAAACTGGTTCTTTTGCTATTACAGAAATTCAACCAAGAGGTAGGAAAATGTGTCAGTGACAACAACAACCAATTAATGCAAGCTGCAGCAAAAGATTATTTAACAAACTTTCTTCCCTTATGTGGAAGACAGAGCTGTCCTCCTCTTTGGACCCTATTTCTCTAAGTCCCCTTGCAATCTCCTTAAGGCTCTCATCCTCCATTTTCTTTTCTAGCCCATCTCATCCTCTTTTTGAAATAGGATGAGTTGAAACAGTTTCCTGGTCCAGTTTAGATTCCAGAAAGGGGCAACTACTGAGAGATAACAGTGACATGCTTTTCTCTTCTCACATTGCTTCTCTTTAAAGTATTTACAGGACCTAGGCCTGCATTTACATCTGAAAAAAGTAGTTTCATTTAGAAGCACATCCTTGCCAAAATTTATGGAGAATACTGGTAAAGGACAACACATTTACAAGCATTCCTTCTTTAAAAACTGGAGAGATTGGCAAGTTGTTGCCATAAAAGTAAGTACGTAAATAAATAAATGAATAAAAAATAAAAACTGGGGGGAGCAAGAAAATTTGATCTGTCATTCCTCAGTCTGGGGAAGAACATCAAGTCAAATTTAAGTACAAAGTCTGAGACAATGGAAAAAGAAGAGGTATTTCTGTTCTTCTAGGCCCTCTTCCAGTTAGAAGGTGATGGTCTCCAGAAGTCTGCAGCTACGTTTCAATCATGTATATGGAGTTTATAGGACTCAACAGTATTAACCATATTTTTTTATTTTCTGTATTTTTGATGCTCTGGTATCTGGGGCCTTCATGATTGGGGAGGGACTGCTCTTCTCAAGGTTAGCTAATTCCTAGAGATAGAGGGAGATAGAGATAGAGAGAGCATGCTTCTCATATGCAAACTACCCATTCCAGAGCCTACATTCCCTCCCCCCACCTCCTCTATAGGACTCTTACACTTCAGGCCAATATTTCCTTGCCCTTGTCATTGGCCTTGCAAAATGACCTCTTCCCTAAGTTATTTATTTATTTTTGTTCTCTCCCCAGTACGTCAGGTTTTCAGATCAGTCAAGCCTAATGAGCAGAACATTGTAATCTTCTTGCCTAACTAACTTCTCCACAGGACTTCCTGATGACCCATCATCCATTACCAACTGCTGACTCTTGTACCAGAACACCTGCAGACCCCATGACTTCAAACCCCATGCAACCTGACCTGCATTCCACAACCCGCTACAAAAGCTCTTGCCTTAGTCAGTCATGGAGATGGATTTGAGAAATAATCTTCTTTCACCCGGCAATAGGATTCTTTCTTTTCTGGCAATACTCATTGTCTCGGTAATTGGCTTTCTGTGCAGTGAGCAACCAGATCTAGACTGGACCTCTTTTGGGTTTGGTAACAACACCCTAATTACCTCAGAGCCAGGTATAAGATAACTCAGGACAGCTCCTGCACCCCAGAGCTTGCAGAAATTACTCAAAGTAGCCAATTTCTAAGCCTGCGTACCCTGCCTTGCCCACGCTTTTCCTCGGAAAGCACAATTAAGTAAGGCCCTTGCCTCCTTTTCCTCCCACTCCCGCTGCCTCCTGACTGACCCTGGTGTTTTTTTCTTGTAACCTTTGTGGCATGCCTCCTGTTTCTAGGAATCTGCAAATGTATAGATTTTCAGCCAGGTATGTTGGTGCATACCTGCAGTCTCAGCATTTAGGGAGGCCAAAGCCAGATAATTGCTTGAGTCTGAAGTTCACGACTAGGCTGGGTAACATAGCAAGACAACAGCAACAAATGGTTAGCTGGGTGTGGTGGTACATGCCTGTAGTCCCAGTGACTTGGGAGGATCCCTTGAGCTTAGGAGTTTGAGGTTGGAGTGAGCTATGATTGTGCCTCTGCCCTCTTCCAACCTGGATGACAGAGCAAGACCCTATCTCTAAAAGAAGATAACTTCTTTCTTCATGACAGTCTTTCCAGGTCTGCATGTCTTACCATATCTGATTAAAACAAATCCTGGGTCCATTTAAAAACATTAACTCTGCTGTTGGACCTGCTATGCAGAGCCATGCAGGCCAAGGGAATGGCTTATGCAACCTTCCAGGTGGGAATCAGTCTGGCTGGAGCCCATCAAAGGAGGAGGAGCACAGCAGGTGAGGGAGCTAAATGGGAGGTAGGAGTTTGATCATGTATCACACAGGGCCTTGAAGACAAGGGTGAGGAGTTTGGATTTTATTCTAAATGGGAAAGGAAGGAACTAGAAAACTTTAAGCAAGGAGTAATATAATCTGACAGATTCTTAAAAGATCATACTGGGGTTTACATGGAGAAGAAATACAATGAAGCAAAAGCGGAAGCAGGAAACCCAGTTAGGAAACAACCCCAGCAGTTGAGGTGAGAAGTGATGGTGCTTATAGCACAGTGGTTGCTGTGGACATGGAGAAGAAATACAATGAAGCAAAAGCGGAAGCAGGAAACCCAGTTAGGAAACAACCCCAGCAGTTGAGGTGAGAGGTGATGGTGCTTATAGCACAGTGGTTGCTGTGGATATGAAGCTCTGTGCCTTCTAAATTTATCCTAAACAATACAGGAAATCAAAGGCAAGTCACATACAAGACAAGCTCTAGCCCCTGCAGACAAACAAGTAGGACTTTGAGAAGTATAAACTATGCCAGGCAATTTCTTTCTTTGTTTAATGCTCAATTTGCTAATCTAATATTCCCAGTAAAATTTTGAAATACAGGATTATTTTTTCCACTGGGGCAAGAGGACAGTGAACAGCTGTGGTGTTGAATGTTGTAGGAAACAACTTTCCCTCCCTAGACCCTCACCTATCCCTTGGCTAAATTGAAAGAAAGTCATCATAAAAAGGGGACCCCCAGGGAAGTTCTAGCTGGGTGGAATTTGGTGGAGGAGGATCAGGACTAGAAAATAATGGATTGACTCAAACTCTTTCAACAGTACATACAGCCTGAAAGTAAGTAAGTTGCTGGCCAGGCGTGGTGGCTCACACCTGTAATCCTAGCACTCTGGGAGACCAAGGCGGGCAGATCACTCAAGGTCAAGAAGTTCGAAACCAGCTTGAGCAAGAGCAAGACCTCATCTCTAGTTGTTTAGCCAACTAAAACAAAACATATAGAAAAAAAAATTAGCTGGGCATGGTGGCACATGCCTGTAGTCCCAGCTACTCAGGAGGCTGAGGCAAAATCACTTGAGGCCAGGAGTTTGAGATTGCTGTGAGCTAGGCTGATGCCATGGCACTCTAGCCCGGGCAACAGAGTGAGACTCTGTCTCAAAAAAAAAAAGGCCAGGCGCCATGACTCACGCCTGTAATCCTACCACTCTGGGAGGCTGAGGCAGGAGGATTGCTCGAGGTCAGGAGTTTGAAACCAGCCTGAGCAAGAGTGAGACCCGTCTCTACTATAAATAGAAACAAATTAATTGGCCAACTAATATATATAGAAAAAATTAGCCGGGCATGGTGGCGCATGCCTGTAGTCCCAGCTACTCGGGAGGCTGAGGCAGCAGGATTGCTTGAGCCCAGGAGTTTGAGGTTGCTGTGAGCTAGGCTGACGCCGTGGCACTCACTCTAGCCTGGACAACAAAGTGAGACTCTGTCTCAAAAAAAATGCACTACTACTTTTCCAAAATTCTTGCGGAAAAACAGATGCTGAAAGGTTAAATAATATATGTAAGATTCTACATCTAGCAGAGCAAAGATTGGAATCCAGACTTTACTCTTTATATTAAACTAAGAGGCTTCAGTTTGGAGAGAATAGACTGCTGTGAAAGTGTGATGGGCCCACATTATATTTAGATAATTTTAAGTGAAATGTAGACTTTACAAGTGAAAGCAAATTATAAAGATCTGAGTTTAGCACATACATAAAACTCTCTACTTCTTTTAGGTTTGTTTTTTGGTTTTGCTTTTTGTTTTTGTTTTCTGTTTTTTAGACAGGGTCTCACTCTGTCACCTGGGCTAGAATGCAGTGGTGTCATCATAGCTCACTGCAACCTCAAACTCCTGAGCTCAAGCAATCCTCCCACCTCAGCCTCCCAAAGTGCTCCCAAAGGATTATAGGCATGTGCCACTGCACCTGGCCTACATTTTGTATATTTTTTTTTTTTTTTTTGAGACAGAGTCTCGCTTATTGACCAGGCTAGAGTGAGTGCCGTGGCGTCAGCCTAGCTCACAGCAACCTCAAACTCCTGGGCTCAAGCAATCCTTCTGCCTCAGCCTCCCGAGTAGCTGGGACTACAGGCATGCGCCACCATGCCCGGCTAATTTTATATATATATTAGTTGGCCAATTAATTTCTTTCTATTTATAGTAGAGACGGGGTCTCGCTCTTGCTCAGGCTGGTTTCGAACTCCTGACCTCGAGCAATCCGCCCGCCTCAGCCTCCCAGAGTGCTAGGATTACAGGCGTGAGCCACCGCGCCCGGCTCATTTTGTATATTTTGATTTGTTAACAAAGAAACAATGGAATGCAGTAGAATATGTTTTGCTGTTATTAAATACATTAAGTAAAAAATTTAAAGATTAACATGCCAGTTTCTATGTGTGTTTGTGTGTGTGTGTACTATTAAAATATTAATTTTTGTCAAATGACTTCAGACCAAAACAGTGAACAAAAAATGTAATTTGTTGATATCTTTGATGAAAATTGAAACCCCTCTCATTTATTTTTATTTATTTATTGTTTTGCAATAGGGTTTTGCTCTGTCACCCAGGCTGCAGAGCAGTGGGATGATCATACCTCACTGCAGCCTCCAACTCCTGGGCTAACGCGACACTCCTGCCTCAGCCTCTTAAGTAGCTGGGACTGTGGGCACATGCCACCATGCCCCAGCCAATTTTTTTAATTTTTTGTAGAGACAAGAGTTTAGCTATGTTAGCCAGGCTGGTCTTGGAACTCCTGGGCTCAAGGGATCATCCCACCTGGGCCTCCCAGAGTGCTGGGATTGTAGGCATGAGCCACTGTGCCTGGCCTTAACAATCCCTTTTATTTATACTAGCCACTTGATTCATAATATAGATGAACAAGGGAATTATATTCACCTTTTCATGTGGCTATTGTATTGCAGATTTCTTGAATATAGAACATTAAAGTCAAAAGTTATCAGTTTGAGCCTCTAACCAACTGTGTCATCTTAGATTTAGCTGTCTAAATCCAAGTTTTATCATATGCAAAATGGAGTTGATGACATATGCTTGTTATAATGACCAACTTTCTAATATTTACTGTGTCTGTAGCAAAGGAAGCTATATTAGGTAGGGATTTGGGGGCTCACTGGGTTCATGTTCTGGCTCAAACACTCACTCTGTGTCCTTGGCAAATTCAGAGACTTTATTTTTCTGAGCCTTAGCTTCTCCATTTGCAAAATGGAGATATGGGTGCGTGTGTGTGTGTGTGTGTGTGTGTGATGGGTTGTGAAAACAGGAGATAAGGACAAAAACATCCCAAAATATGAGTTATCACACATACAGATTTGATTGCTCATTTCAGATTCCACATTGTAATTATTCTTTTAAGTTTTAGTGCAATATCAAAGGAAAATATCCTGTTATCTGAAAAGTACATTAAAATACCTCTTCTTTTTCAGTTATTCATCTGCATGAGGCTGGAGTTTCTTCATATATTTAAAGCAAAACAATATACAGCAACAGATTGAACAAAAGAGCAAATGTTGGCCGGGCGCGGTGGCTCACGCCTGTAATCCTAGCTCTCTGGGAGGCCGAGGCGGGCGGATTGCTCAAGGTCAGGAGTTCGAAACCAGCCTGAGCAAGAGCGAGACCCCGTCTCTACTATAAATAGAAAGAAACTAATTGGCCAACTGATATATATATAAAAAATTAGCCGGGCATGGTGGCGCATGCCTGTAGTCCCAGCTACTCGGGAGGCTGAGACAGAAGGATCACTCAAGCCCAGGAGTTTGAGGTTGCTGTGAGCTAGGCTGATGCCACGGCACTCACTCTAGCCTGGGCAACAAAGCGAGACTCTGTCTCAAAAAAAAAAAATAAATAAATAAATAAAATAAAAAAAAAATAAAGAGCAAATGTGAGAATTCAGTTATCTATTAAGCTGGACATCAAAGAGATTGCATGGGCCCAGGCGTGGTGGCTCATACCTGTAATCCTAGCACTCTGGGAGGCCAAGACAGACGGATCATTCGAGTTCAGGAGTTTAAGACCAGCCTGAGCAAGAGCGAGACCCCATCTCTTCTAAAAATAGAAAGAAATGAGCTGGACAACTAACTAACTAACTAACATGTGCCACCATGCCTGGCTAACTAAATTAGCCAGGCATGGTGGCACATGCCTGTAGTCCCAACTACTTGGGAGGCTGAGGCAGGAGGATTGCTTAAGCCCAGGAGTTTGAGGTTGCTGTGAGCTAGGCTAAAGCCACAGCACTCTAGCCTGAGCAACAGAGTGAGACTCTGTCTCAAAAAAAAAAAAAAAAGGAGATTCACAAAAATGTAAAACAATGTCACTCTTCTCACATTCTCTTTTTCCTTTGGGAAAGATAATTATTTTTCATAAGTTTGTATTATGTTAACATATAATGGACTTATTGATATTTTAAATGTTAATAAATACATGTATGTAAGTACTTTAAAATTTTCTGTTTTAATTTCTATGATAAATATTAAAATCATAAATAATATATCAGTCATAACTTCAATTAGAGTGGCTACTTGGGAAATTTTCATATTCATTAGGCAAGTCCATTTTTGAGAGTGACTCTGGGAAAGTTATTTAAACTGTATGTGCCTCATCATAAAATAAATAAATAAAACAAGAATAATGCCACTTCATTCTCCATTGTCAGGAAATTTGACAA